TTTATATATGTTAATGTATATTAATTTAGATATATTTGTCTCGCATATATATATATTTATAAATACGCACTTTCTAATATATAGACCCTTTTCACACACACACACACATATATATATATATCGGAATATATATATATACGTACCGTATTAAGATCTACATCGAAGTAGGGGCTGTAGTAGGCCAGTTGCCACATGGACACTTGCATGCCATCAGGTGTAGCTTGTGCGGGTGCAGCTGCTTCTTTGCTTTCAAACGAATAGTCATCGCCGCCGTATGAGGCAGCCGATGGGGCTGGGGGGGCTGCTAGATTGCCCGCTGTTTGCACATACACGTGGTGGGTTAGTTCGTCGTCGTAAGTAAGGTATATGCCCACTTCTAGAGTGTATGCACATCTTGTTTACTTTTAGAGTGTATGCACATCTTGTTTACTTCTAGAGTGTATGCACATCTTGTTTACTTCTAGAGTGTATGCACATCTTGTTTACTTCTAGAGTGTATGCACATCTTATTTACTTCTAGAGTGTATGCACACCTTGCTTATCCTATAGGTTTACCAGTACGGTCAACTAAGTGGTGTGTGCACATGTAGGGCAGGTTGTAGCGAGTCGGAAGCAAGGATGTTGCTGTGCTTGCGGTCACTTCCAAACCGTATGTGGTGGGCGAAGGCGCTGAAGGGGTTGTTAGACTATCCGCTGCACAAAGTATTATGCCTTACGTGTATCTGTATGTACAGGCAGGCCAAACCATAGTATCCGCTGTTTATCTACAAAAGCTATACTATATATTTACTAGTATGCGCAGATTCCGTAGTACATGCACACACAAGAGTGCCACAGAGAAGTCTTTTCCGCCGTATGTGGTGGATACTGGGCGCCGAGGGGGACGCCGTAAGCTATCAGACTATCAGGTGCCTGTACGGCTATGTTGTAAACGTATCAACGTGTTCAATGAATTTATACCATGTGACATGGTTCTCGGTAGGCACCCTCTCATTGCACCCCGTGCTGTGAGAGTAGGTTACTCATATCCGAAGACACATAGGAACAGATGAGGATAAACATTAAACATACGCGTGTGGGAATACATGCACACCTGCAAGACGTACACGCATACAAGAACAGATGAGCGCACTCAAACACACAGAGACAGACAATAACACCCCCCGCCGCCCCCTTCCTTTTTTCTCCTCTGAACTAGTCATTCTGGTAGATGATACAACAACATACATGTTATGATAGATAAATACGTGCGTGTACCAATCGCGCGGTTTTCATTGAAGCCATCGAGAAGGCCCTTGACAGTGCAATACATAATTGCCAGTCATGTGCTCGTACATAGCAACAAGCAAGGTCTGTATGCACACACCACTGCCTGAACTGACGTTAAAAACTTGTATGACATAGGCTAAGGAGAGGATGCCGATTTATCCGCATGCTCGATAGCTAAAAATAGATCCGCACATCTAAAAATAGATACACGTGTGCGCAAAACTCACTTACCAAGTTCATTAAAAAAGTATCAGCTGGGGAGGGGAGGAGGCAGGGAGAGTAAAGTATAGGGTCTATTGACTCGCATAGTCTGTATCTAAAAATAACTAGGAATATCTAAAAATAGACAGACGTGCGCACGGCGCTCCTGCCACACTTCCTAAATATAGGCAAAGCCGTGGAAAGCGCCCGACTCGCATGATCTATATCTAAAAATAGATAAGCACGGCTAAAAATAGATACACATGTGCGCACGACTCTCAAACTTACTAAACATGGGAGGTGCGGGGGAGGTCGATTGACTCGTAGGCTTGTATGACTGTTATATCTAAAAATAGATAAGCACAGCGAAAAATAGATACACATGTGCGCACGACTCTCAAACTTACTAAACATGGGAGGTGCGGGGGAGGTCGATTGACTCGTAGGCTTATATGACTGTGTGGTTTGGGCCGACGGAACATCGCCAAAGTCTGGGAGGATAAGGAGGATAATTGGTTAGTTTATGCAAGATGTAATAGCCAATTATTTAAAAACGATTGGTCGAGTACGGGAGATGGGATGATGCTGTATTGTGCCAGTTGCCTAATCCTAATGTGCGCGACTGCTTTGTTTTGTATCCCAGAGTCCATAGAATAGAAATAAAAGGCAGAGATAGTGTTGCGTTGTAGTGTGTGATAATCCTGGAGGGCTGCTCTGATGCTTTAAGACCACGCATACGTACAAAGCTTCGGCCGAGAGAAAATGCGAACATGTGTGATATTGTATGACAATGACACGAAGCATACCTCACAACTTTAAGGCAAATAGACATGTGACCCACTCGCGTACTATAAAAACGTGGCCTGATGCAACTTTTATGTGTTTACGATTATCATAGTCTTGCATTGAGAACGCTGGCTGAAAACTCCTGGTGGAAACACATATGTAGAATATATATACGCGTATAGGCATACATGCCGACAATACTGTATATGCATACGTATTAAAAGGCCTATACGCACAAAACACGTAACATAAATACGAATCGAGATACATATATATATATACAGGTATAAATATACGCTTCCATACGCACGTAGATAAATATATACACACATACATACATACCTACATATATACACACATACACACCTGCATACATACATACAAACATACATACTAACATATATACATACATACCCAGTTACATACATACAGACATACATACATACATACATACATATATAAACAAATAGATCCATATACACATAGATACAGAAACCCATACCTACGTACAAGCATACATACATTTATATAAACACATACATCCATACATATATAAACGTATATGTATATAAATAAATATATATACATATATATACATATACGTTTACATATCCAAATAAATACACGTATACTTATATATATATATATATATTCATATATACAAATGTATATACCTGTACTTCAACAAATACCATTATCAATGCCAAAACAGTATATATATANATATATAGTATATATATATATATATATATATATATATTATATATATATATATATATATATATATATATATATATATAATGTAGTGTACACATAATCGACAAATATACCCATGTTATCATTCTTATTGCTACGTTTTTAGTGAATATACACACGAAGCAAAAAAAAAATAGTTTCATTCGTGCAATACAGGCCTCTTGAGGTGCAACGGTATCAATAAACTAACTTCATGATACAATTTCAACCTTATTTATGACATTGCAAATGTATACACTTTCGAACTCTCAGCTATTGAGATGTCATTCAAAGGCGTGTGTAAAGTCAAACCATCCTTCCCGATACTTCATAGTGAAAAATACTTCTTCATACACTTCAATTCATTCATAAGTCTCAGAAATGCTAAACTCCATAGCCTCAATATCCTATATAAGCTATACTAGGTTGCTTACCTGGGGGCTCTGTTTATTTATAACCCACAAATAGTGAAGCGCTGACAATGATTCCATATACTTACATAATGCGTATGCACTATACTGTCATACTTGTATCGTATACGGTGTGTACTGACATATTACCTTGGAAATCTAACTCTGTATCATTGTTGTTGAATATATCATCACCCACATCGATTGTGAAATCGTCATTGTTGCTGCTGTGTGCCATCATGTGCAACTTCGATTCTTGTATATTCGATTGTATAAGCGTTGATCGGAGTACTTCCAATATATATATATATATATATATATATATATATTATATCACATATGTATTGTTTATTTTACTACTTACACACACTCTGTTCGTTGTTATTGTCTACTAACCTAAAACTAATAAGTACGACGAACGGACCTACTTTATTTGTTCGGTCGACACTACGAGGCGGGGTAGTTCGTG